AATGTCCGGTTGTAGCAAAATAACTTCAAAAATTTGCTGCAAAAATACACGTGTATACGTATGCAAAAGAAAGGCAAAGGTTGTGCGTTTTCTTTTGTGTCGTCACAAGTACGTACTTTCGTTACAACTTAATTACAAAACTCTTATAGTTCGTCCGTAGTTATGTACATACATACATATACATACAGATATATAAACAGTTCTTGGCCTCATCTATATGATGAATAAGATATTAGAGGTAAGAGAAAGAAAATGGACATTTGTTTGTAAAATTGTGTCCAAGTATGTAAAGGCAGAAGGGAGACACTGTAGGGCAATGTTATAGTCCCTACCCGATTTTTATTGTATACATTCTTTCACAATTTTAATTATATCTCTCTCGTCCTTGTTGGCTCTGTCCTCGATGTTTATTTGCCCTTGCCTCCTACATCCCACATGAATTTGCTTTCACAAGAACAGAGAATCTAGTAGGTGTCCTAATTTGAATCCAAACAGGAAATTTGGCTTTATATGATCCCAAGAAATAGGGTTATATGATAGGAGAACCGAGGATTTACGTTTACGGGATAGATTTGAGTTGGAAAATAAATAAACCGTTTATAATCCGACATCATCTCAAATGAACTTGTAATTGTAATTCGACATCGAAAAATCAGATCTTTTAATATTTTCAAAGCTCTGTATGACTGTATCCGTCATGTTAGTTGGAAGGTTTAGTTAAACTTGAACTATAATCCGTTTATATGCTTTGCAACGTCACATGACATCATTGAGATACCATCACTAATTTAATGTATAAACGTTTTACCAAAAGTATACGTGTTTACGTGTGTTTTCAATGGTTTTTTTTATCCCAATTCACATCACTGCATGTGTGTTTTTATTATAAATAGAGTAAATTAACAAGATTGGAAAAGTATACTCTATTGTAATACATATCCATATCTACTAAATGATTTTTGTTTTTGACTAAACAATATATAAATGTAAATGTTTCAACATACATTTAATAATACATATAATATAGTCACTATTTGGTCAACGTCATTAACCAAATTATAAAAGCATAGTAGTTCTGTATCTATTATTATTTTCTCCATTAAATTTATTAGCTTTCCAATCCGTCCATATAAATACGTATCCTTGTACCTATAACCTCCATAACATTTCCACAAACAAAAACCAACGTTTCAGAACAAAAAAAGTTTTAAGATAAAATAATGGCGATAAAGAAGTCGACTCAAGCCGCATCTATCAAGCAAATCTTAAAGAGATGCTCGAGTCTAGGGAAGAAGAAGAACGTGAATGGTTGCTACTATACTCAACAAGACGTGCCAAAAGGTCATTTTCCGGTTTATGTCGGACCGAACCGAAGTCGGTACATCGTTTCCATCTCATGGCTCGAGCACTCCGAGTTTCAAACGTTGCTCCGACTAGCCGAGGAAGAGTTTGGGTTCGACCATGACATGGGTCTCACTTTACCTTGTGATGAAGATTTCTTCAGGTCTCTTATCTCTATGTTCAGATAAAACTTGATCTGAGAGATGAGATCATTATTCTTTGAGATGGATTAGAAGAAGAAATCTCTTTATTAGAAAGAAAGTTTGAAGTGTCTCTACATCAGTAAACCCAAAAACATCCCTTTTTTAGGGTTTTCTGATTATGACGAAGGAAACTGGCTAGGAAGCTTCGTGTTAGGCATCAACCCGTTTGGGTTTTTTTTTTCTTTCTTGATTACAAAATTTGTAAGTTTTTTTCAATACTTTTGTAATAGTTTGGGTTGGGAACATGGGTGGGCGATTTTTTCCCTCAAGTCAACGTGAAATGTTAACCGGTGATCTTGAGAGGAATAGCTACTTAATTTCTACAAATTAATTTGTTATGATCAATCAAGAAATTTTACATATCTGTGTTTTTTTCGGTATTGACTTACAAAATAGTACGCGTGAGTTTACAAAATGCTCCAACGATTCAAGTTTTAACCCTTGTTACTAATTTGATTCTGAGTAAACAGATTTCTATATTCTAATTAAAAATTAGTAAAATTAATACAAAGTTTTTTTACCTTTATGCTCACTAAACAAAGTTAATCTCTTAACTTCCTACAGTTTTGAAATTAGACTTGACTTTTATTCTAACTAAAAAAGTTACAATAAAACATTTTTTGCTATATTTGGTAATTTACTTGTCGGAGTGTAAATTACCGTATTTGTCTCCATTCCTTTTACTTCTAAGTTAGTCTAAACTTGTAGCAAGTGATATTTCAAAAGATTTGTTGATGTCTATCAAATAACTGAGTCAGAGTTTATTGATGGATCAATATGGTCCTACCAGATCCAGTCCCTCCATTTATTTGTATCTATGCAAATTTATGGTGGTTACCTACACAACAACAACAAAAATGAAAAGAAACTTCCGCAGTATGTATATAGATGAATTAATTTGATGTCCCATTATGTTTTTCTTAAGAAGAAAACATGTATTTGACGTTTTGGTGTCAAGCGAGTTGGTTTTTTCTTCTATGGATCATGCATCCCCAACACCTAATTAATTAAGTGCTTTGAAAGAATTTGATGTTCAACCTCAAACTTTGACAACATGGCACATTGTACATAGGCAGAATACTAAACTATGATGTCCTATCAAAGTAAACTGGTTACACATATGCAAAACATATAATTAACTCGCATTAATGTCTCTTATTCATATCTAACAATGTTTGTGTAGCTCATGCTAGTACCCCTCATTCATATCTAAAAATGTTTTTATATATATATGACCATACTCCAGACACTACTGCTTGTTTGACTATTAATTCTGTGTGTTAATTGTGACTCTTGGTTTGTTAGAAAAGTTAAAATGAGATTGGTTACAGTTTAGGTCGTAAAAGGTGTAACAATCGTTATAGCATAAACATGTAATTATATTTTATGAATAAAAGTCACACTTTACTTTATGTTTCTTTTTGCTGTTATCTTTTAGAAAATTGTTCAGATTTGATTCAACGAATGCACGTTACTATCAGATTATCTGGGTTTTATACGTTGCCATACCATATTCACGTGAGAACAAAATAAAACACAAACAAAAATATACAGAAAACACAGAAAAATGAGCTTCAAATTTTTTATATTTCAAAATGTATTGTCTGCTCAAAAGCTAGCTTGCCCATACTTCCAATTGGTTTTGAGTTTATACCTTGTCTGCTTGACATTCGTAATATATTATGTGTTCTCCAAAACAATTGTTTATTGTTATTTTGGGGTTTCTTGCATTAAAATATCATATTGTTGACATCATATGTTCTAGGGAGCATTTCAATGTCATCGACAAATTAGTACATTATCCTTTTATTTACCCTTTTTATATAAGTATTTCATTTAGATTGAGCTTGAATATATAATTTATCTAAAAACTGAATATATAATTAATCTATAACTGATTCAATTAGAAATTCAACATAGACTATTGTTAAATGGGATTGAAATATACATGTTCAATTGATTTTTCTTGATTTGGGCTTTTCCTTCGTTTTAGATATATACTGTGGGCTTCATTTCTCAAATCACATAATCGAAATAGAGATCTATTGAAGCCCATTAGGGTTTCTACAAGATCAGATAGCACAATAAAAGGTGAAATTTCACACTCTCTCGAGTTCCACCGCAAACCCTAAATCTAATCTTCGCCGTCGAGAGCATCCATGGGTCGTGTCATCAGAGCTCAACGTAAGGGAGCGGGTTCCGTCTTCAAGTCCCACACCCACCACCGCAAGGGTCCGGCTAAGTTCCGCAGCCTCGATTACGGCGAGCGAAATGGATACCTCAAGGGAGTCGTGACGGAGATCATCCACGACCCCGGACGTGGTGCGCCGCTTGCTCGCGTCACTTTCCGTCATCCTTTCCGTTACAAGAAGCAGAAGGAGCTCTTCGTCGCCGCCGAAGGCATGTACACCGGCCAGTTCCTCTACTGTGGTAAGAAGGCTACTCTCGTCGTCGGAAATGTCCTCCCGCTCAGATCTATCCCAGAGGGAGCCGTCGTCTGCAACGTCGAGCACCACGTCGGTGATCGTGGTACACTCGCTAGAGCTTCCGGCGATTACGCAATCGTCATCGCTCACAACCCTGACAGCGACACTACTAGGTTTGTTTCTCCGATCTAACTCATCATTTACAATTTTATCACAATTGAACAATGAATCATTAGAGGTTTATAATACCATTTCCAGATCTGTTTGATTATTTGGTGTAGATTATGATAAGCTTAATGGATCATTCGTCAATTAGAAATGCTTATTCAGATTGATTCCAGTGGATTCGTTAGATTCATGTGATTGATAATACCTTTGAACAGAGTCATTTAGTGAAGAACAAAGTCTCATTTCTGAATTGCTTGTGAATGTGTTTGGATAGGATCAAGTTGCCATCTGGATCGAAGAAGATTGTGCCGAGTGGATGCAGAGCCATGATTGGTCAAGTTGCTGGAGGAGGAAGAACAGAGAAGCCGATGCTCAAGGCAGGAAACGCGTACCACAAGTACCGTGTGAAGAGGAACTCATGGCCTAAGGTTCGTGGTGTGGCTATGAATCCAGTGGAGCATCCTCACGGAGGAGGTAACCACCAGCACATTGGTCACGCTAGTACCGTTAGGCGTGACGCACCACCGGGACAGAAGGTTGGTCTCATCGCTGCGAGGAGGACTGGTCGTCTCAGAGGTCAAGCCGCTGCTTCTGCAGCCAAGGCTGACTAGGTTTTACAATTATTATCGTCTCGGTTCGTTTGTGTTTTGCTGTTTGTTTCGTTTTCGGACCTTGTTCTCAAAACCCCTAAAGATTTTGTTATAATCTTTGTCTACTCTTTTTCATCAAAGTTGAATGTTTTTGTTTCTAATCGTTTCAAACTTTGGCAGTCGTAATGATATTAAATTTGGCATTGGTTACAAACTTTCAAGACTTGAATTGCTCCAATTTATTATTTTTTTGATACGTGATCAGCACGATAATGTCGTCGACTCCAGGCGCTGTGGTGTTGGGGGATTATGTGATTGAGCCGCATAACAGAGGTGTTTATGATGAAGACGACGACGATGAAGATTCCAGCTCAGACGATGATGACAACAACGGCGTGTTGGAGCTGGATTCGTGGCAAGGACAGAGCCATCATATTCGGTTTATCGATATGGATCCGAGCGACTTCGCGTCGTCTTCTCGGTCATCCCCTGCTTCTTCTCCAAGCCGTTCGATTCGCCGTTTGCTGTTTCAAAGGAGCCAGAGAGGCGGCGATAGAGGTCGGTAACTTTTGAAATTTTAACCGAATCTCAGTCTCCTCTCTGCATATTTATCTCAAACTCTCTCTCCGGCTTGAAATATTGCAGGAGAAGTATAAAAGGCTTAACATGACTTAGCCAAATTAGACACACAAGAAATTTGAACAATCGTCGTCCCTTTTCTTTTAATTTATTTTTCAGTGTAAATTATGTATTCTGTGTAATTTTTTATTACTGTTTCTGCATTGTTGTACTCTAATGAGGCATTGATCTCTAATGCCTTTTTCAAATTTCATTTTTTATTTCCTGATTTTATCATTTTATGTATTGATTTGATTTCCATCTTCCTAAAGCTGTGGAAGAACAAATAAAAACTTTATGTGAAAAAGAAGAAAAAGATGTTCTCACTTATCAATTCTCAACTTCTTGTTTTGTCTTCACGAGTCTCTTCTTCTACTTCCTACACAGCCGCGTGATAAGCCTCCAACCATATGTTTGAGCTTTTTCTTCATTCACAAAGCACAATAGTTTAAGAAAATTATTTGAATGAATCTGTTGAAGAGAAGAAAGAATGGGAACACGAAGTAGTACCCAAATATCTGAATTGTGAGCTTTGCTCTTTGCTTCTCCTTCTTCATCTGGAACGAAATGGCGATACCTCCACGTCCTGTTTTTCCGACGAAATGCCCGGAGAAACGGTAATCGGAACTTACTCTTCATTTTTCTGTACCACCTTCTTTTCTTTTTCTGCCAATTTTCACCAATACAATAACAGGAACTACAAGTTAAAATTTACTTAACATCTGAATTTATCTTGTTTACTAGTAATACTAAGAGAAAACAGACAACATATTGACAAAATAAGGCTTAGTAGGTTTAATCCTTGTCCACAACTGTACATCAAAAAGGCCCAATAGAACCGTAAAAGCTCATTTTGTCAACTGAAAAAAATGAAAACGTTACCTTCGGTTTCGGCTGCTCGGATTTGTCATCACTCTCTCCGTCGTCGCGTTTTGATTCGCCGGCGAGACTCTCGGCTCTCATCTGACGAAGATATGCTAACAGACTCGCTCTCCGATCATATCCACGTATCTTTCCGATCTCGCGCTTCCACGTCCGCTCAACGAAACTCTCCCATTCGTTCTTCTGTCTCCTTCGAAACGATCGGACGGTCGTCGCTTCACGATCAACGTAAACGGTGATGATCACACCGTACATAATCCTGGGGTTTTCATCTCCCATTTTGCATTCTATGAACTTTTACTTTTTTTTTTCTTGTTGGCTTCTTCAACTCTCGAATCGGGATTTTGCTGTTATTTAGGAGGAAGCAGCAAATCAGGAAAGAAACAAATCTCTTTCTTAATCGGAATGACACGTGTCATCATCTGCTGCTGCTCTTCATGTAGTAAGTCTTAACTACTCCACAGTCAACGATCTAAAAATGCTGACTCATTTATAAATTATCAAAAATGGAATTCGAAATTTCGAATACCACATGGGTCTAATGGGCCTAAGTATAGTAGAGATGTAGTCTTGCATTATATCGGGCCTATCTTTTTCCAACGCATAACACCTATGAAACCAAATCAACAGTAACCATTAATCTTTGCTTAGTGACGAAATTTGCAATTTGTTTGATTTACTATAGGTTGAGATATATGGATACTATACAATGACAGAGTTTAAATGTTATTAAAATGCTGAAAAGAATCTCACAATTATCCATTATAAAGAATGGAAAATTATAGTAATAATTTGACTACCAACAGGCAACAACAATGTTCCAAAACTGTATAATTAATTATTATAAAAATTGAATCTTTATGGAACAAAGTTGTAGGCTTAGCCCGTGGACCACTGCTTTATGATATGCTTCTAAACCAGGGGGGTTAATTCCAACTAAAACACTTTCAACTTAATAGTGCTCTAATTGATTCATTAAAAATAAATGATAATAATTAGTGTGGCATCTTTCCACTTCACAGTCTTCACAATAAGTAACACAAGATGAAAAAAAAACTTTATTGCAATTAAAAAAAAAAAAAAGACAGATAAAAGGGAATATCCAGGGGAGGCGATATGCGTTAATATGACCCTTGCTATTGCGAAATGTGAATGTTATAGCTAAAGCTTTCTCGGATCTTCTCTGATTTTCATGCACAAATTTATTATTTCTAACAATATTTTAATATACTACTTCATTTTCTTCTCATGCATCTACTTTTCTGAACAATACCAAAACGTATATGTATTATTATACCATGTGCGTTGAAGGCGGTAAACTGACCAGAAACTTTGGACTTTCCTACCAAAAAATTTCGGGACTGCGTTATTGCATGTTTTTGTTTCACAATAAATGTTACAGTGAAAAGTATAATTGTCATTTCAACTGTTTAAACTACGCATCCAGAATCTTGACTGTTTCTGATGAATACACATACCAACTACACATTTACTAAGTGGCACATTGTTTCAATCGCCAAAACCATTGTTGCTTTTTTACTTTTGTTTAAAATGACGCTTTGAATAATAATAGTATATAAAAGTCTGTGATTACTTAATTTGTAGTGTTTGTCTAGATTGAACTTTATGAATCTTCTTTAACAACAAAAAATGAATCTTGGATCTTCCATTATAATACAATGGCTAATTAACATTGTTTTACCTTTCTTGTAACTAATTAAACTTAACATATATATTAACCATTTTCGCTTTTTCATTTGAATAAGTTACCCTATCACATAAAAACTGTTTTTTTATCCTTGTATATATTAGGTGATTTACCTTAGTTTCAGTTGAAAATTGTTCCCAGTCAATTACATATGTCCAACATCCAAGTGCCATATTTTTAAATTGAACTTGACTATGAACAGTAAAAGTGTCCACTTATACCAATATGACAATATCATATGGGTAAAAATGTATAGCCGTATGTGTTTGTTGTCAAGTAGTGCATTATATATATTTCCTACGATACGAGCAAGAACTAGGATATAAATAAATCTAGTGGAACATTAAGCTCTAATTATTATTTCGCTACACAGATTAAATATGTTGTATGAAATAAAAGGTGTTGCTTTTAGCCAAAACAACAACAAAACATGAAAACAACAACAACAAGAGGGATTATAATTATGATATCTGCTAATCGCTCTCATAATCGCCAGGATAATTGTGTTTGACGGTAAGTCAAGTAAACACTAGTCTTGTCTTGTCTGGGATATTTTGGCTACTACTTGATACTGACAACTGTTGGGTACAAGCATAGAAAGACTCAAATAATAGAAAGAATGATCAATTTCATTGCGAGTAGAATATTCCAGTCCAGGACATGTATATATTACTGTTTCCCGTTACTAGATGGTTTAAATGTAAACGAATAAAAAGTAAATGCAGTGAAAAGTGGCTCAAAGGGTCACGAAAGGGTCGATGTCTCCCGTAACCGCATCAAGCTCCCCAAGTTGGCTTCCTTTTTTTTTAATATAGGGCACAATTTTCTTGTTTTTTGTCTGCATCAGATTAATTTCAATTTCAAAAACAATCAAAAATGGTAAAAGAATTTAAAAAATACTAGAATGATAACGAGATTCGTTCATGATTGATCGTGGGAACTAAAAATTCCAGTCGTAAATATCAGTCATATGAAAATCACGGGTACCGAATCTCCAAATCATATTTCGTGGTTGTTATTACTTATTACTCTCAAATCAATGGGGACAATCTTCTTTGCCGACGTCAGTAATAGGTAGAAAAAAAAAAAAAGTAATAGGTAGAAAGGAAAAAGATAAAGAAAGAAAGAAGCTGCGTTGTGTTGTGTAGTGGTGCAGAAAATAAAAATAAGGATATTGTGAAAAGTACTGCATTATCTGATTATATGAAACTGTATACGTTTACATTTTTAAACAGTATGCTATCTTCAAATAATATAGCCTCATTTATTAATTTATTTATCAAATATGAAGTAATGTTCTTCACATTTCCTTTTTCACTTTTCATCTGTTTTAATATTAATCCAGAAAATGAATAGTCCTTTAAATCAAAATATCAACGGATATCGAACTTATGATTGATGGTACTTTGTACTATATAAAACAAATAAATATGATAATGGTACATTTGTTTAACCCAGGAGAAAACAAAAAAATATTCGAGGTGTTATAATCAGGATGAAAGAAATATTTGAAATTTTATTGAGTAAACAAACCTACCATTGGACAATGATGTTGATAATAGATTAATGATTCGGGTGAGAGAATTAAAGAGCCATGAAAATGATCGAGATGTTACATTTTTCGAGAATTAAAATGTTACAAATAAATCAAAATGCCACTTTAAGTATTGTAAGCTAGCTTAAAGGTAAAACGAGACTATATGCAAGATTTCGTCTTTCATATAATGGTACGAATATATTAAATACATAGAATCTTGTTCGTGTAATTAATTTAAAAAAAAAACAGAAAATCAAACAAACTCACCTTCTCCATGTTCTCTAGGCTGTGCAGAGTTGAATATAGTTTTGAAGCTTTACCAAGATTGACTCTTGAATTTATTTTCATCACATCGACTGCAAAAAATATAATAATAAGTGGGTCCATTAGTCCATACGTTCTTACTCATGTATCATTTATAATGATAACGTAATAATTGAAAATCTAAAATAAAAATGACAAAAATAATATTATGACCCGTCCCTTTGTATGGTTGCCCCGTTCGTGTATTTGCTTGGCCGTTGGTGATTCCATGCGCCATTTAGCCTCCAAAGTCTTCTCTCTAATCTCCTTTTTTAAGCCATAATCTCTGTTTAGTTTATACTTAATTGCGCTTTATCTTATTAATCGTCATGTAATCCACAAAAATCTTCGAGATATTTACTTTCTCGACTTAACTAATACATTTTCTTTTATACTGTATTAATCAAGTCAACAATACGCTCATAGATATATGTTTATAAACTATATATAGCTACCCACCGGATTCTCATTCTCCATTTTCTTATAAATACACTAACGTTTGACGTTGATTTTAAGAAAATGAAGTCAAGATAAACAAAATCTATTTGCGAATATGCTGATTAATACCCATTTCTGTAATATATATGTACCCACACGTGATGCAGTTC